AGAAAATTGGAGGATAGAGAAAGATGGCAGGGATGTAGGTGGGTAATTGAACCACAGGTTGAACATTTCTAAATTCTGAGCACAGCAATGGGACATTCTGAGTAATTTTTTATATTTTCCTTGTTATTCCCGAACCCCAACTGGTCAAACTAAGTCACATACAGCTTAATCACATTCTAAAAGAAAGCTGAAAGTAAATCTGTACATTCTCAGTTTACAACACAAAGATGAATGTGTATAAACTCACGTGTCATCCTCATCCTCGTCTGTCTGCCAGCTGTTTGCAAAGTCATTGACATTTCCTACCAGAGTGCCATCTGGTTTAGTGAAGTCATTGTCTCCGTTCCCATCGTAGTCCCCGCAGAGACCGCACATCTGGTCGTAGTAGGAACTGGAGAGACAAGAACAATGTGGGATTAAAAGATGAGGTCTTAAAATCTAAGCTTTACAAGACCTATTTTAAGTATTGTTTGGCCCTTTAATGAAATCCAAGTTTCCAGAATCTATGTCAAACTGGAATAGCCACCACTAAACAGAGGAGGGGGGTCTTCCACGCAAGCTATCAAGCACCTACTGTATAATACAGTTTTATGATCTCTCCCCAGAAAGTTTTATCATTCGCATCTTGAGTCACTCCTGATGTGGCAGATTCACATCCTTCATTATGTAAACTGGAAGCTATTAGAACTGTCATTGCTGCTGGTTTTACAACCATTCACACTTTGAGGAATGTGAGTCCTGGGACGTTAAAAGGCCATTAGCCATGTGAGCTGGAGCGACTATACAGGTCTTACACTCCCCACCAGTGAGCTAGAAGCAAAGAAGCCTCTTTGACGAGAGGTGAAATGTCTTCAAGAACCTAAAACAGAAGTCCAGTTGCTTTTACTTTAAAGTTACTGGGATTACAACAGATGCCTGTTCAGAAATCAGAGGAGGCCATGCAGGGGATGCAAAAGAAGCACAAAGAGGAGATGTAAACCGTATCTCTATACAAATGTCATGGACAATGTGAGATTGCAACAATTAGACAGAACTTGTGATGAACTGAAGGGACTTAAGGGGACGACAGGAATTACTGTGTGCCCCATCTTTACCATACCACATATACAAACAAACAAAAAAAAATGTGAGTGTCAAAAAAAATAAAAAGAAAAAAAAAGAGGCTGATGAATTGGCACTTGATTTAACAACAAATGGCGTCACCCGGTTTGGTTCTGCAGACAATACAATGAACTGTTGGCTGTGGATGCTATGTGAACTCCACAAATGTGTTTTTACATGTCTTTGTTGGTTGTTGACATCCTCCTCTGTGCACTATCCTGGCAACGATGTGTGAAGTCATTAACTGTATTTCTGCAAGACTCTAGACTATGCACAGAAGGACTGGAATGCATTTTTGTGTTGCATTGCATTTCTTGTTATTTTGTACAATTTTACAGCATATTTGAACAGCTGTGTACAATGTCAATTCATGTGGGGATTATTAAAGTCACTGTGACTCTGTTCTTCATTTCAGAAATAAAATATTGAATGATAAAAGATACACAGCAATATGCAAAAAGATTGAAGCACGTGTTTAACCAGAAATACATAGTTTTGTGTCATTCTAAAGACAGAGATTATCAGTTTGGTTTTTAGGATGTTTTAAATGTCTCAAATAAATTTGTTTTAAGAGCACGTTTCCTAAAATGCACAGAAATTTAAAAAAAACAAACAAACAAACATGATTGAACTGTCCCATGTATAGATGTAACTAAGGTGTCTAAAATATGAAAACAACTTTGAGTGTTCGCTTTATTTACCATTGTCAAAATACCTTAAAAAACCTGTATACTAACCTAGGAACACTGATCTGGGCATAATGGTTTCCATCCCAACGCACCACCAGACCAAACGTTGTCTGCACGGTGACGTACTGACCAGC